CGGTGATCTTATGGATCTATTTGGTTACGTTCGACCTTCGCCTTCTGATTTACTTGGCTCGTGTTTTTTTGGTAGCGGTGTTCATAGTCAATTTCGACCCGACGCCACGCTACAAGACATTTCGATTGTGGTGCATCTGAAGAGTAAAAGCTATGTGAGATTGCTTCTCTCACTGTTCTGCAGAATTCTGGCGTCCAGATAACTTGCGAAACTTTGATGATCGCCGTAGTATGACGAGCCCGGCTTCTTCAAACTTTTATGGAAACTCAGTTGACATCATATTGACGCTAATATGCGTTTCAAATTGCATTCGTTTGATGGTGTGTTCAACGTGGCTAGTAAAGCTGTTTTAGGCTGCTGAATTATAGATCTATGCTATAAGAAGTGTCGTAGTTGCTCTTTTGTGTAGACCGCTTACTTGTTCTGTTCATGGCTTTATTGTTGGTATATTAACACAACTGTATTACGATACTGAACTTTCGGTTGTTGTAGATAAAAAATCTTTCACGGTTGAGAGTGTCGGTTATCGCGTGCCTACTGTCATAAATCAAGACTGTCAAACAATTTGAGCTACTTGACAGTTTTTTTCAATCGCAATAGCCCAATATAATTTAAAAGGTTGTTAGAACAACGAGTTCGTTCAACGGGATGTCATAAGTCCCAGAACTACGATAATGGAATATTTCACAACGCTTCATCTCACCTGTATTTCAGTAATATTATCATCCTTATCTGTGCAAAAGCAATATTAAACTTAGCTGCTGAGTATTTGAGTTGTCTGAAACAGTATTCTCAACATATAAGTAGTTCTGTAATAAGCTTCCTCAAGGGATTAATTATCATTTCATTACCTCTGTGAATGGAAATGTCTTCTGCATTTGTGACTTACCGAAATCGTGAAGTACATAAGTTGAAGTGCAGTAGCACTGGTTCCTAGCCACGCAAACATTGAAGCTAAACGTACACTAGCAGGGAAGATTGAATTATCCACTGGACACACGTAAGTTCGACTGTAATTGAGGTGAAAACATTTGATTCAGGCGGCATGGATTAGTCACTCAGGCGTGGTCTCTCTGTGTACTCTCGTGCTTTTTATATCTAAAATGTCATTCCGTGCCCAATCTAAATGTGTTCTTGGAAGCACCTAATGACTGTCACAACAGGGTGAGCCAGCATGTACAACGATATAACCTCTTTGCAACATCTTAACCTCTAATATCCCGGTTTCTTCCACATTGTAAGCGGTGAACCTTTTCTCTGGAAAGTCTCAAGAGTAAAAGCAGAAACTATAGTTTTCATTGACATCCCTTAAGAGGTGTACGTTAAGTATGAATTCTGCCGTTCTATAACACCATCTATATTATGTACGATAATTGCTGGACTTTTATGACTGCTCGGGACACCAACTTGATTCCAATGATGACTGAATGAATCTTCGGTGAGACCATATTTTATGGGCGACTCTAAAGTGACCTTGAGTATGTACACCTACTAAAAATAAATAAGGGTTACAAGCCAGTATGAGGAATGAGAATTATGATTTTCATTTGTTGGTTGGGGTTAGAAATGACATCAACTAAAATGACAAAACGCTATTTGACCAAATGAATGAATGAATATCGCACCGAAATCCAAGACCTGTTATCTTATGTCTGATTGGTTTGTCCATAAATCATAGTCTCGCCGGATTTTCTTCTACCGAAATTAACAGTATCCTACGAACTCTCTGGATTCGCTAGTTTATGCATGAGGACGATATTTTCGGACTGTTTTCACAATACGTTCACCGTATTACTTTGGTGCAGTGGGCGATAAATGTGGATAAATATTAAAAAGCACAAGCTTAATGGTTTTGTTTCTTGATTCCAAGTCGAAAAAGATTTAGGAGTCCTGATACCCCATGATTTAAAGTCTTACGCTAACTGTGACAAAAATGCCTTCCGAGCAAACCTTGCACTGGTAACGTTGAAGCGAATTTTTGGACAGTTTTACGGACAAACTTTCCATACAATCTTCAATAGTTTCATCCGTCCCCATTTAGAGTACAGAAACATAGTACTCCCCCCTCATTCCAAAAGGACAAGGTCACCTTGGAGCGTATCCTACTGCGAGCCACGAAATCAGTTCGAGGACTCAAATCTAAACCTTACGAAGAGCGCCTCCATTCACTAGACCTCTACCCATTAGAGTATAGGCGTCTTAGAGTTGATTTTCTGATGGCTTATAGCATCCTTAACACTTCTGGACATCCTCTCAAACACCTACTTAAGCTTAGTTCGAATAATAACCTAAGGGGTAACACCCAGAAACTGGAGACACAACATAGCAAAACGGAATGTAGACATAACTTCTACTCCTTAAGAGTTGTCAAAAGCTGGAATTCGCTGACGGCCGAGCTAGTCCAAGCGACTTCTCAGGAGTCCTTCAGGAGGCAACTTGACCTATTCTTAAGGACCAAGGACAGCATCACACTATGATTTACCAATTTTTTTCATCTTTTACTGTTAACATACCTAGGTTCCTGCCTGGAGGATTTGGTGATCCCCTGCTACTAGACACGGAAGCCTGTTAAGCGAAAGCTTCTTCTATTCCGTCCACAACCATTCGGACCATTTGAACCATTTGAACATCACAATGACCTTTGCAGCGTAAACTCTGACTCACTCAAGGTCGTGGGCTTTGACTGGTTGTCATGTTAGACGATTGCATTAGAAAATAAAATAATAAATAGATAACCTCCATTCTGTTATGGTATATATATACATATCAAACGTCTTCATATACTTCCTGTTTTCTATGCAATCCCTCTATTTATTCAGTTGATGCTTCAGTTCATAAGATTGTATGACAAGATTACAATTTGCTATCCTAAATCTGATTATTTCGTCCGCATATATAGTCTCATCAAATGAATATGTAAATTGCTGAGACTTATCAGGTACCATGTTCAACCCAGTATAATTTTATTTCTCTGCTTCGAAAAGTTGTGAAAACTGATATTTTTGGGAGCGTAAGCCAAACCAATCGAGGAAAGACTTTGGTTGAGCTGTGCTTTATCACTAAATTCATTTCGGATATGCAAATCATCTCAAGATCACGGTCTATATTCCATAATAGGGATATTAGCTAATGTGAAAAATTAATATTATTTCTATGTTCTGGGTTTTCATCACCAATCGACTTTAGATATAATCCAAGGACTATAAACTCCATTTTATTGACCCACTTCTTATCATATTATTATCTTTCTGTCTTCTAATTGGTTGAACGGGTAAAATTCCCAAGGTCTTACGACAGCACAGCTTTGTAAAGACTTTATAATTAGACTTCGCGTACTAAGTAATTTCCGTGAATGCTTCCTCTTTGTTCCTGCAGTGGCCAGCTAACAGAGATTTTCTAACCTTTCAACTATGTTTTCCCAATATCCACTCATGTAATTGTAACTTTTCCAGGAAGCTACGACTCGTTTGTTATCTGTGTGAGGATCTAGACAAAATACCCTCCGTGTCCACCGACCCGGTTAAAGCCCAGGACATTCGCTTGTCATCCTCTCATTTTCGTAAACAACACCCACTGCGAGAAGTCGGTGAGTAGGACTTCCTTGGTAGTGGTTGTATACATGTAGCCATGTGAGAGCATTTCGAGAGGGAGTTGACTGTCCGCACTCTCGGCCGTATCAAGGCATTTGGGGGCAATTATGTACTATATATGATGGTAAATTACCCTATGGAAGAGTTAATATGACTACATAAATACTCAGCTTATCCCACCTATTGCAAAAGTTAAATACCCGTCTGCCTAAAAACGACAAGTATGTTGATCTTTGAATCATCAAGTTCTAGGATCGAATATAAACATCAGCTTCTATTATTGGATCATAGTTGAGTATACAATATTAGTGTTAGGTGTAGAGTGCTAAGTGAAAATGATGATTTTATTAATGTGAGGTGATCATAACGTGAGATTAGTGGGCCCATATGGTCATCTGGTATAACGGTTATCATATGAGTAGATTAATAAAAGCTAAGAACACCCAAATGAATACTTGGCATCAGTCCATAAAGTCATAGAATGTTATTCCAAATTGCATAGAGAGATTCTAGCTTCGTTGTTAGAGTATTCACAAGAATAATCATGATATAAGTTCAAGAGCTTTAGTTGACATGCATTAAAATCAGTCTCTATAGTACAAGTGCATTCATTATTTACCAACTCTTATATCTGGGACATACTATTCTATAAACATCATTCAGTTTTCTTTGTATCTTTTTTGTCACTTTTACTGTCATTAATTGTAAGTTTTCCCTCGTGTTGACACAAAGTATTTCAAAATAAGTAGATACTTATTTGCGTTAGATTTCCTGTCATTATTTGTTCGTGTATTTCCTACTCAAATTACAAGTATATTTCGCAGTATTTGAATGAATTTAACTCCAACAATCATACATTTTTCATAACAAACATGAAACTTTAAAACTAGTAGCCGTTTGTCGAATCAAAAGCACACTAATCTTCCAGTTAAGGAAACTGCTGTTCAGAGTTGTGGTGTTTTTTTACTATTACTCTTGTTTCTCGCCGCAAAATCTAACGTACTTATCTAGTAATAAGGTAACTAATTGCTACTCGTTAACTCTACGAAGGTTTGTGTACCAAGTAAACATGCATTAACCATACTACCCTGTTAGTTAAATTAGTATGGTTAAGGTGAGTTTAGACCTGATCCAAAGATTAAGAATCGAGCTGCCAGGCCACTGGCTCGTTATGAAAATAACCCATTGTGTCATTGAATAAAAATAAAGGGAATTCGGCGAATAAAATTTTCTTAACGACATAAAACATAATTATGTAACCACGACAAAGTCCATCAAGTACGTATTAAAGTATGCATACAAATCTTTCCTCGTGGGGTTTTTCTGCACGAATAGCTTTATAAAAGTTTTTACACTTACATTTTATATCTTTTTTATTACAGATGACTCACATATTTGCTAAAGGATAACATGAATTCGAGTTATTTATTTAAATTACCGTTTACATGTCCATCACAGTTCCCTATCTTCACACGTTCAATTATCAGCGTGGTGTTTTTTGGGAGCGATCATTATTCATTACCTCATTTACACGCCTTGGAAGAGCGTCAATCTCAGCATAAAGATATTCGATTATTGTTTGTGGTTACTACCTCGGATAAAACTCCTGTTAGATATCATTGTATTCAAAATAAAATAGGTGTGTATACCACACAAAGCTTTTCCATGGTTTAAAATGAAACCAGTACCAAACAGTTTTATTGATATTATTTTGAAATAATGTTTTGTGATAAAAATTTTTACTTTTTATTTAACCCATTTGCCAGGTACAGGTTTATCTACTAGGTATTAAACTTGACTATTTGTATGAAGGCTAGTGATTATATTGCATATCTACCTAAATTGAAGTAGTAGTGCAATTCGAACCTACAATTAGTCATTATTCATGAAGCTTACGTTCATTAATGATTGGTTTCCCATAAAACTCAAGTTTCATATTAGGTTGGTAACTGAAGGCACTTGATATCTATACCTGAGCCTAGTGTTTTCATCAGTTGAAACTTGTTCCTACTGGTGTATCTCCGGACGAATACTCTCCGTGGAGTGTTTCTCTGTGACCTAGTGTCAATGATGGAGATGTTACATTCAAGCCATCCATTTTCAACACAATCTTAAACCATGTACCTTTAGAAATTTTAGACTAATTTTATCTTAACCATAAGGTTTGTTATAATATACCATCATAGTTCTATTCAAGTCTTGTATAATTAAAACGTTACTCACTGTCATTTGAACATAATAAACAGTAATACCATAGATCTATGACATTTCTATTCACTATAACTTTTCGTTAACTCACGAAGAGTAGTGAAATGAAATTTTGTTGAAATAATGACATACAATCAGTAAGAATTATAAGCAATGCATATTCATATACACTGCTAGAATTACTAACCGTTTTAATTCCTTCACATAGCTTAAATAATATTACTGAGGTAGAAGTGTATATTATGATTGTTTATTTTAAATTTAGTTGTCAGGATGGATTGGTAATCATGATCTAACCCGTTTACCACATACAGATCCATGTGCTCAACCTTAAGCTACACTTAAAGTGCGAGAGCTAATCGCTCAGGCTTTCAACCTTTAGCCACTAAGCCCTTGGTTTGAACCCCATTCTACCTACCTAGTTTTAGGTGACCGATTAGTATCATTACCCTCGTATTTAAAATGTGGTTCGTACTTCAGCACTTGGCGAATGAGTTAATAAGAATAAAAAATGATTTATTCTACCCGGTTGTCCAAACCAAAGTAAATGAAGTGGGATTCGAAGCTCCAATGTAGTGATCCAAAGTTCAATACCCTAACCATTACCCTACGGGTTGACACACACTGAAGAATCCGAAAGTCCTGTATTTAATCCTAGGTGAGGCTGCGATTTCTCACCACACTAAAGAGTCTCAAACGAGGATAAAACAGATTCTCAGTTATCCCTGATGTATACCCGTGCTGAAAACTGGCTTTAATTGATGTGATTACTTTTTTTAAAGAAAGTTCTTGGAAGGTACGCGACGTTAATTTTAAGTTGAAAGTAATAAACCAAAATTACAATAAATCCATGTAATCCTTTCTTTTTTCGAACCCATCTTCTGATTTCCATGAAAAGATCACGTGATTTGGCCACGCACGCTTACGAATAATTCAATAATCATCAACGCTGTTAGTCAACGAATAGATAAATTGAAAAGTATTAATTCCTTGAATAAGCCAGAGAAATTGTTAGGCGTAATTGTTTCATTTGGCCGGTTTCTACCCTCATCACTATTGTCTTTATTCAATTATGGATGCTTTAATATACATCCATCATTATTACCAAGATGGAAAGGTTCTAACCCATTATTATATACTTTATTAGCTGATGATAAAGTTACTGGGATTACCTTATTCCGATTGAATCCGATGCATACAACTTTCGACTCTGGATCTGTTTTGTATCAAAAGTCCATTCGCCTACCTTGTAATAAGAATACAATGTTAACACCGAATCAATTAGCTACATATTTAATGCCACACAGCATTAATGCTATGTTTGAGGTAAGATCTAGTTGGATTCGGTTTCATACTTTACAATCGAACACTTTAACTAATTGTCTTAATATTTATGCTGTTATATTCCAGTCGAGATTATGAATTGTTAGACGTCACTCTGATTACCTATGTTCCACATTTCCAACAGGATAGATTTTCGTCTAACCAGTGTCATGAAATTGTATAACATATTTTGAGTCGTACTAACCTTTATGACTTATTCAATGTTTCCAAACAACAAACTGAATGGTTTAATTTTGTACTTTTATGTCGTCTAACTTTAGCTGTTCAAGCATTGGATATCTGTTTCATTCTGTTATGGGACTCAGCAGCGTGTATCCACTGTCCCACGGATGATTGAACCGAAGACCTACTGATCCCATAGCGAGCACTTAACCGACATGATTACAGTCAAGTTTTCAGCTAAGTCTGTACTGTAGTGCATTTAAAGTCAAAGAATACTCAGGCTTAACGACAAGATAGTCCTAAAGATTGTGGACAATACGTCACTCAGCAAAGTTTTTTTTCAAAAGTTCATCAGTAGAACAGAAAGCACTTACATAAGTGTACCTTCTTATTGATGGTCAATTAGTAACAACTTCGGAGCAACCGGAAATAGTGTGACTTACTGAAATGGTAGAGGTTGTAGCTCAGAAGACGAGTTTTAGAACCATCATGTTCTATATGCTAGATAGTTTGGTTGTCTACCTTCCTCTCTTTCCGAGCATAAACATTATATCTTTACAATTGATTGATCACTGGGTGGTGAACTGATGCTCTATTACGGACCTGACACACATGACATTGATCACCATCCAGTGATCAATCAATTGTAAATATATCAGTCCTACAGGAGATCAGTCGCGGTGCGGTCAGCTCAGTAGTAACATCTCTAACTGTGAAACTGGTTGACATGGGATCGAATCCGCCAGGGGGCATCAGTTCCTTCAAGACTATAGGTACACATTGCTAACGAGTGCCAGGTAGCATGAGACCTATGTCCAGGGTTTCTTGTTGACTACATCCAACCACCACATTAGAACTTCTTTATCAAAGAATATAGGATCGCCAAAAGTTAAGCTTATATTCGAAAGCTCAGTCGAAGAAGAGATATGTACTCCAAATAAATAAGTAAGAATTAAACCAAAAGGTTTGCTATTAATTAGCAAAAAAGCACACAGCTGTTTCCAGCAGTAATATCAACGATTAACGAAAATAAATTAAGCATTCTAGAGATTAAACAAGCCCTTCAAAATAAACAAGATTTTAGTGACACATATGAGAGAGGTTAAAAGAAGGAAGGGGGCTATAAAATGCTACTACCAATAGAAAATTAAATTAAGACATTAAAATAAAATCATAAATGAATGAGAAAAGTGGCTCACTGCGACAATCCAACTATGGATTTATGACACACAAGTCGTGAAAATTATATAAAATACTCAAACTATTGGTTATTTTTAAGTAGTGTACCGTAACAACATACAAAAAACAAGCAATGGATTTAGTCAATGTAAAACACTTGTCACATCATATGTCATCTATCTTAGTATCATCATTACGATATTTATATTATTGGTTTTATAGGTCATTTTATATCCTAACTTACCATATTTAGTTGGTGTTGATCAATCGGTGATTTCAGCGAATTTCAACTTCCAATAACGTATGCTCGTAAACCTCAACCCCACATGGGTTTGATAAATTGGCAGGAACAATCAGCTGAAGATATAATTCGATATTGGCATGCATTTCAAGGCACTTGTGTAAATTTATTTACGGAGCTTTGTTTATTGAACACTGTACAAGAAGAGAAAGAGAATAATTCTTTAATTGCAAATTTTCGTCTATCTGAATGTCCATTGTTGGTACCACACGTTGATCATGTTTCTAACAATAACAATGGACAGAATAATGCTGAAGCTGCCGATATATACTGTCCAAATTATGAGTCCAAAGTTTGTGTTATTATAATATTTATTTTTAAATTCATTTCAACTGCGGACTGACGTTAGTTGGAGAAGACTGTTGAAAACCACTAAACATTAGACAGTTGTTTCCTTCTAGCTTGAAACTACTCAACAGTGCGCCCTCACTACCTCACCAGTCAAATTGAACCTAGCACCTCCAAATCTTGCAACAGAGTGAATGGCTAATATGCTTGACTTTCAACCATTAAGTCTCAGATTCGAAGCCCTTAAAACCTACTTCGTTTCAAATATTCAGTTAGAACAAACCTGTACTTGGTAAATAATTAAGGTATATAAATTCAACAAATTAAAATTAGGTCACGATATTTACACGTAAATCAATAAACATCACGATACAGTATCCAATAAACCATATTTCCAAATTCAATCAATTTCCAAGTTATTATGATTATTCTTAGGTGATGGATAGTCTTGATGGTGTAACGGAGGAATAAAATTAGTTTCTGTTTACCAGGTTGTACTACTATTATACGATAATATGACTGGGAATCGGTATTATATTACCGCTAGACTGGATACGCGATCGATTGATATGATATACACAAACTGGGACACATTATACCAGACAAAATATTCACGACCAAATCTTTAGAATCAGAGGATAGGCTAGACAATACTTTATTCAGCACAATTGCCAGCAGTTTACACTCAGTGAATCTAGAGTATAAATCAATGATAAAAAGAAAATTCGATATTAAATAGTTAGTAAGTTTTGTCTGTCTGTTCGTGCTCGGTAGCCAATTAAATCTTACTTCCAATAGTCACACATTAATTGACATGAAAATACGTAGGTTCGACATACTACTTAAAAATTTCTATGAGACTGATGTAAATTGTTAATTCAAAACACACAATACACTAACTGTTATTTGATTTGTATACCAGTAGTTTAGTCGATAAGTCATTTAATTTCCAACCAGTTAGTCAAAGTCAAGTCTATAAGCCAATGTACACAAACTTTTACTTGAACTCTGAGCTACTAATAAAGTTTCCCTTAAGGTTATAACTGGAAATATTACTCAAACAATTTTCAATCTATCCTCTTTTAAATCATTTCACGTGAATATATAATTTTTGTTATTTCATTGTTCATGGATGATTTTGATACTCAATAATTAATATGTACCATATAATTTAAGACGTTAAAGAGAAAGAATGTATTTGTAAAATCTCAGTGAATGAATTTGAAGTCAGTCCAACGTTTCACCTAGCAATCTGGTCCAAACTTTTTCAAGGAAATTTAATCAAACATCAAAATTATCGAATATAAATAGGTACATGGTTCTCCGGTTCACTGTATACTGAATAGGTCATCCAATCAATGTCTCTTACACAATAATGAAATACCTACTTTAAACATTGTTAACGCTGATTGGATGACCTATTCAGTATACAGTGAACCGGAGAACCATGTACCTATTTATATTCGATAATTTTGATGTTTGATTAAATTTCCTTGAAAAAGTTTGGACCAGATTGCTAGGTGAAACGTTGGATTGACTTCAAATTCATTCACTGAGATTTTACAAATACATTGTTTCTCTTTAATGTCTCACATCAACCCGAGACCCAAATACTGTGAAACTATTCGATCACATTTAGACGAAAGTTCTTATTTAATTCAAGTAATTTCAAGGTATTTGAGCATTACTAACTAATGGAAATTTACAGAAAATTTGGTTGAATAAGTTTAGTTAAATAGAACTTCTTGATCTACGGAGAATATTGTTTTCTTTATGGTATTATGAAATTGCATATGTAATGTACTAATAATTAAGCAATTATTACTTAATTAGATGATTTACTATGAGTTGGCATCAACTATATAATATTATTGAAAATCAAGAAGTTGTGGATAATGGTTTCGTCTTTGTTTGCAACACTCCAACAGTGCCGACGCACGACTCGTAAAAGAATCAAACTTTTAAGTTTCATGACAACAATCTGTGTTATTTTATAATTTACATCACGGTCTGACTATGGATAGATAACTCTGGGAACCAGAAATCAGTGGACAGTTATTTTGTCCTAGGACTAGAACTTATCAACAGTGCCCATCCATGACCGCCCCAATTATCGAATCTAAGACCTTCAGACCACTGATTTAATATCCAGTCCACTTCTAGCTTCAGTTAACTCTCAACATTGCGCGAATAACAAAGTCCTATCACATTGATGGCTAGTAAATATTGTTACTCCTGATATGGTTGAACTCTACTGGTCACAGTTGGTAATATAAAGGATGCCTAATTTAAATAAGCTTTTTTATTATTACTTATGTTATTTTTCATAGATTATGGACTATCTCAACGAGGCTTCAATTCTTCTGCATCAACCACATACATCATCATTACCACCTGGAAGTATTGTATATTTACGTTCACAAAAAGATGTGAAACATCATTTAATACCGTACACTTTCATTGCTTGTAAGCCAAACAATTCTTCACCTATTATAACCCAGATTAATTCTGTATCATGGTTAGCTGTTAAAGCTTTTTAGTGAATTGGCCTAATTCATCAACGAAGAGTCGACATTTAACAGCTATTGATTTATATAATGGTTATTTCTTAAAATATATTCAATCACTATCATCGACACTCCCGATATCTGTAGTAAATGAAGGGCGACATTCTCAACAATTAGGCGTACGTTATTTTGGTGAGTTTCGGTCTAACTCTTCGTCTACATCATCTTTACTAAGTGGTAATAATAATGATGGTAATACCTTGATAAAACCTTGGAATGAATTAACACCGACTATTCTACCTTCTGATTTACAATCATCATCTGATATGTCAATCATTGTAAAAAATGTACATAGTTGATAGTTTAAATAAATGTTTTTAATAGTAAAAACAACTTGTTTTATTCTTTTCTCTTGGCTAAAAAACTTTTATTCATTGAAAGTAAGACTTGATTAATATACATAGAAAAGTTAATAATCTCTTATCTATTAAAATGAACTGAAGTGCGATTAAATGCAGGGTATTAGGTTAAGATGGCTTACCAGTTAGTGAGGTTATGAATCTTTATCGACAGAAACATATACATATGTCCAAATACCATCCACTTCAACTCTTGATGCTTGCTCACGTGGAAGTACGCTGATACAAAGACATAGTGTCAGTTCATGAAGTCAATTAGCGTTCGTCTGAGCCCTGTTGGTCGGTGCAAACTACTTGTTTGTGATCCATGGAATTAACATAATCAATGGCTGCTTACGTTGAATGACATATCTCAATCGGTTGCAATGACGCAGATTCATTCACTATTTGCGTTCCCCTTGATATTCAATTTTAAAATTGTCCCATACATTTATTCTATAGATTCATTCTTCTCGAATTAAATTGTCTTTTCTTGATATTTTCTACTGTTATTGGTACTTTTACTACTCCTTTTTCTCTAATGCTTATCTTGGTAATTTCATCTCGCTATGCTCATGTATGTGTTAGGCTAAACCAATACGTGTATGTACCAGGTTTTACCTTGCTTATGACTAACATTAAAATTAAATCCATCTGGAGAATCAGATTTAGAGTAAATAGCACTGAACTTACTTGACATTGGGTTTTACAAGGTTTGTATAATTAATGGCTAGTACTGCTTGTAAACAAAAAAAAGTACTTGATTTTCCAGTTCCTATTATGATTGGATTCTAGTCTAGACAACCATTAAAAACCATGAAACATTGGGTATATGTTTCACCTTAGTACGGAACTTATCAACAGTGCACAACCGGTGACCTGGCTAAATTTAGAGACGAAAACCTTCAACACTCACAACAATCATGCTACCTTTCAGGGTTACTAAGTTGACTTCCGATAGTTGCTTTTAGTCAACTCTCTAGACTGCTCAGTGTCGTGATATAAACAGAAAATTGGGTGATTTCCGAGAAATTATTATACTAATAACTTCATTTGTCCAATATATATATTTAAAGCTCTCCTCAAACTCTTATATTTGAAGAATAAATTCCACATTGATATAAAGATATAAATATATTACTATTTATATTCTTATCGCTTAGTTACTTAGTAACTGAGTTACTTTTTTTCGTTTTCCATTTATCGTGAGCTTTCGTTAGACTCGCTAACTTCTATCATACTACTTACTATTCGTAATTCACACCCAATCAATTACTTACAACTTACCTTATTCTCTACGTATAATTACTATTTTTTCGATTTAGGGTGTGGTGTTGTCCAGTATATTTGTATATAAATTCACATCCGCTTGAAATATATAATAGAAACTGCTTTATCATTTCTCTTTGAACTCAAGGGAGGCGATAGTGAAAGACTCGAATAGCTGACCTATAGAAGCTTGTTTTGTGTCGTCTCAAGATTAGTAGTACAGTTCAGATGTGTAATTGGTCTAGGATACTGGGCTATAGAAGAAATAGTAGACGCGACAATAGAAAAAAAAATTGAAATCGGAATTCTAATTAATGACTTTAGCATGTGATATCGATTAGCATCTAAAATCATAACTATGAAGCACACTGTTTGTGTATGATGATTAATAACACATTGTACCAGATTCCTTGAATCAAAGTAGTCAGTATTAAGATTTGATACAATGATCACCTGTTGATCGGAAACTGATTGTTTCAACTTATAGACTACTAGTACTGTACAATAAGAAATAAATTAGTTACAAGTGAAATGATGTTCGGATTACGACCAACGCCCCCAAATGCCTCGGTATGGCCAAGAGTGGGGTGGGCCCGCCCTACCTCTAGAAGTGCTCTCACACGGCCGCGCGTATACAGCCTCTGCCAGGGAAGTCCTACTCACTGCATTCTTGTGGTGGGGGTGTTGTTTACGAAAACGAGAGGACAAAAGCGAATGTCTGGCGCTCTAACCGGATCCCAAACTAATGGTGCACATGGGCTCCAGTATCCTGAGGGAACAAATGGCATATGAACCAATCGTTGGGCACCGGCTACCATGGGACTTATCTCCTCACGATGCTCCACTGCCTTGTGGGTCAGACCTTTAGGTCAAAGGCTCGGGTTGTGGCCCCCTAAGATAACCACCTGCTTCGGTCTGGGCACCCGGGAAGTATCACAGCCCACACACAAATAAAATGAAAATGACGATATTTACTGAGAATTCTATTCACGCTTCGATTAACAGTCAAACAACCCACATTATTATTATTATTTACTACATCTTTTATTCCCACTTTATGCATCCTTATTTTTCGACTTATACAGCAGCTCGCCTATGGTGGGAAGTCGGTTCTATCTAAACGTTCTCGAGTCACTGCCTGGTTGAAAATTGTATGCTACCACCAAATACGAATATTGAAGCAGTTTTTCTGAAACCACGTGCACCATTCAAACTGGCTGCCTTCAACGTTCGCACACTTATGCAGGTGGGACAACAGATAGGGCTGGCTATGTCTTTGGAAAGTCTTAATATCGATGTTTGTTGTCTATCCGAGACCCGTATTCAAGACTCTGGTGAAGTACTACAAATTCGCTCTCCATCTGTCGCTTCAAAAAGCTTGTTTTACGTGCGCTTATCCGGGGACCCTGTGGCATCTTCGTCTGGTCTTGCTGGCGTTGGTGTCGCACTAAGCGCTAGAGCTGAGGCAGCACTAATCGATTGGATCCCCATTAACAGTCGGTTATGTGCTGTTAGATTAGAAAGTTCCATCAAAGTGAGAAGAAATCGGCGTGAGAAACGATGTCTTTTCGTCATCTCCGCCTATGCCCCGACAGATTGCAGCCCGGATGCAATCAAGGATGAGTTTTACCACCAGTTATCTGTTCTTCTCCAGAAAGTGCGTTCGACAGATATTGTAGTACTAGCCGGAGACTTGAATGCTCAGGTCGGGCGTCTAAGTAGCCGGTGGGGACTTGTTGGTCGCAGGACAGATAACGGGGACCGTCTACTGCAACTGTGCACAGACCACAACCTGTTTCTGGCTAGCACTAACTTTCGGCACAGTCATCGCCGATGTGCCACCTGGCGTCCTCCCTCTGCATCTCAAGCCTGGACTCAGATTGATCACATCGCGATCAGCTACCGCTGGCGTGGTTGTGTACAAGACTGCCGCTCCTTTTGGAGTACCTATCTGGACTCTGACCATGCCTTGGTCTGCGCCAATCTTACCTTACTTTTCAGTGGACAACGAAGTGACCGCCGCCAACGGATTGATGTTAGCAAGCTGGTTGCAACTTCTGTTGCAAGTAAGTATCGAACCGAGCTAGCCTCTAGGCTAGCTACCATTCCACCGAAAAGTATAGATGAGCATTGGTTGCAATTGCATGACGCCATGAAAATGGCGGGTAAATCCGCTTGCTGGTTCGCGAAACGTCCCGCTTATAAGCACTGGGTTTCTTCTGGTTCCTTACAACTCATTGAAGCCCGTCGGTCTACTCCGGGTGACCGTGAGTTTGACCACAAACGAAGGATGTTACGTAAGGAAATTGGGCAAAGCTTGCGTAAGGACCGAGAAGCCTGGTGGTCGGAGCGTGCTAATGAGCTGGAAGCAGCAGCTGCATCTGGTAACTACCGGAAGCTCTTCCAACTCATCCGAGCCACTGGCAGCAAGAAGTCTGGTGTGAGTGAAACAATCTGCGAGGATGATGGGATGCCAATCACTAACATCCATCGACGTCTTGGACGATGGGCAGAATTCTTCGAAGGGCAGTTCAACTGGCCTGCTGCTCCGGCAACATCGGTCAGACTGTCCTGCCCTCCATGGCCGGTGACGACTGATCCACCAAATGAGGCGAAAGTCCGCAAGGAACTCCAACTCTTGAAGCGTTACAAATCACCTGGCCCAGATGACTTACCTCCGGCTCTTTTTAAAGATGGTGGTGACTTTTTGGTTAAGGAATTGATTGTGTTGTTTACAAATGTCTGGGAACTAGAGAGTGTACCAACGTCATGGAATGAGTCGATAGTTGTCCCTATCTTTAAAAAGGGTTCACGTCGTTTCTGTAACAACTATCGGGGGATAAGTCTACTTCCGATTGCGTCCAAGCTATTGGCTTCCGTCATACTTCGTAGGTTGTTCAAAACCCGAGAAAGATTGACTCGCGAGGAGCAGGCTGGGTTTCGTTCTGGTCGAGGATGTATTGATCATATCTTCACCCTCCGCCAAATGTTAGAACACCGCCATACTTATCAAAGGCCAACAATCGTAGTGTTTCTTGACATCAGGGCTGCCTTCGATTCGTTGGACAGGACTGTTCTCTGGGATTGTCTATTGAAGAAGGGTGTGCCTGAGAAGTTTATTAACATCCTAAAGCCCTATATACAAACACCTCAGGCAGAGTGAGGGCATACAACCACCCCTCTCCATTGTTCCATTCGAGCAGTGGGGTTAGGCAGGGTTGCCCAATCTCACCATTCCTCTTCAACTTTGCCATCGATGACATTCTGGAAACAGCTCTGATGAATGTAAGTAACGGCGGTGTGGATCTGTTGCCTGGAGAAAGACTTCTCGACCTTGAGTATGCGGATGATATTGTCTTACTGTGCGATAATGCCCAAGCCATGCAATCCGCACTTAATCAGTTGGCAATCAGTGTCCGTAGGTATGGTATGTGCTTTGTACCTTCGAAGTGCAAAGTACTTCTACAAGACTGGCAGGATTCTAATCCTGTACTCACCCTGGATGGTGAGCAGATAGAAGTAGTCGAGAAGTTCGTGTATCTAGATAGCTGCATAAGTGCTGGTGATGGCGTGAGTGATGAGATCAATGCACGTATAGTGAAAGCCAGAGCGGCTTATGCCAATCTGGGCCATCTTTGGCGCCTTCGTGATGTTAGTCTGGCTGTAAAAGGTCGGATCTACAACGCGTCGGT